ATTCAAATTCAAATATTGTGGATCTATTTCATTATCAAAAATATGAGAGGGACCTTAGACCAATTTCTCTGGGTTCAAATTCAAATTCTTCCTCCAGAGAAATTCTTTGATAGCCTTCATCATCATCATCATTATCATCATTTTTTTTTTACATCAAATAAGTAGCTATAGTAGGTAGCACCATGAAAATATATATTCTACCAAGCAACAGTGAGCCGAATCAAAGAACAATTACCTTGCTAGCAAAAGGTTCACCTCAATACTACTAGCTAGCCCATTAGCCAACAACACAAAAACTTCCAAATCTTAGTAATTATCGATTTAAAGGCTTACCGAATCGGAGGACCACTCAGTGTAGGTATAGATTCAAAAGTTTGAGTCTGATTTCTCAAAACCCCACTAGTCCAGTAACGCTCTCCTCGCCGATAAATTACCAACTGTCCTGACTCTTTGCTGGGTTCCCAATTCATTGTGAAGGCCCCAGAAGTCGGGAAATAATCGCTGAGCCAGGAAGTAAGAGACCAGTTCTTCTTCGGCACTCGGGCAACTTTGTAACCACATACCCATTATCAGATTGATGATACCCATAACAAAAATCAACAGGTCCAATGGCAAGACTATTAGCACCATGATGAATCATTCCATTTGGAGTCAACATCCACATCAATAAACTTCCATTTACACCACTGAAAGTGAAGTACTTCTCATCATTATTAACATAACCATACTTAGAAAACCAAAACTTTTCTAACCTGTAACTCTCTTCAGGTTCACTAATCACTTTCACATCGCGCAACGTAGATAGTATATGACTGCTATGGCTGCAATTGTTCCTGTCGACCTTGCAACCACTAGCCAGAGCTGCTTCAAACCATTCGATCCCATCTCATCGTCTCCGATGATCGAAGTCGTTGAACAATCCGAGTCTTTGATATGCTTTCGATTATGAAGACGAGCCTATCCAACTCTACAGCCTCGGCTCCTTGTGCTGCTTTGCCCATCTTTTCTCTCTAGGGTTTCAGAGAGAGAGAGAGAGAGTGTGTGCTGCTCTGCAGTAGAAGAGGAGAGAGAAAGAGTCAAATTTCTCTGATGTATGTTTAGGGACCTTAGACATCAAAAAATAATTTTGTGGATCTCTTCCATTACGAAAAGTGGGAGAGAGACCTTAGACTAATTTTCCCAAAAAAGAACCATTAAAATAGTGAATAAAAAGATTATTTAGAAGTATTGAACAAACTACAATCACATTTTTCTTTTTGTGAGTGTTTATATTTATCTAATTTCAATCATATTAAAAAATCAAATTATAAACAAAAGAAGATAACTACAATCATACAAATCACATTTTTTTTAATACTGTCTAACTACAATCACATTTTTCTCATAATAAAAAATAATAATTAAAAAAAAGAACCATTAAAATAGTAAATAAAAAGATTATTTAGAAGCATTGAACAAACTACAGTCATATTTTTCTTTTTGTGAGTGTTTATATTTATCTAACTTCAGTCATATTAAAAAAATCAAATTATAAACAAAAGGAGATAAGTTCAACCATACAAATCACAATTTTTTTAATGCTATCTAACTACAATCATATTTTTCTCATAATAAAAAAAATTAATTAAAAAAAAAGAACCATTAAAATAGTAAATAAAAATATTATTTAGAGTTGTTGAACAAACTACGATCACATTTTTTTTTTGTGAGTTAATTTCAATCATATTAAAAAATCAAATTATAAACAAAAGAAGATAACTTCAATCATACAAATCACAATTTTTTTAATGCTATCTAACTACAATGACATTTTTCTCATAATAAAAAAAATAATTGAAAAAAATAACCATTAAAATAGTAAACAAAAAAGATTATTTAGAACCATTGAACAAACTGCAATCACATTTTTCTTTTTGTGAGTTTTTATGTTTATCTAACTTCAATTATATTAAAAAAATAAAATTATAAACAAAATGAGATAACTTCAATCATACAAATCACAATTTTTTTAATGCTATCTAATCATGATCAATAATTAAAAAATAATCACAAATTAAGTCAATTGATAATTAAAAAACGCAATAATTTATTTTTCAAAAAATATAGTCAGTTAAAAAGATCAATTACAATTTTTTTTTGGGGGTCAAAATACAATCTAATCATCATCAATAATTAGTACATTATGTGACCCTAATGAGTACAATCCATTTTGTTTTTAAAAAACACAGTGAGTTAAAAATCAAATCACAAATTAAGTGAATTGATAGTTAAAAAAACACAATAAATTTTTTTCAAAAAACATAGTGAGTTAAAAAAATTAATTACAATTTTTTTTTTTCAAAATACAATCTAATCATTATAAATAATTGGTACTTTAAAAATCAAATCAGAAAAAAATCAAATCAAATCACAAATATTTTTGTGCTATCTAACTACAATAATATTTTTTTCATAAATAATTGTAAAGAAAAACCATTAAAACTGTAAATAAAAGATTAAATCACATTAAAAAAAGAACAATTGAACAAACTACAATCACATCACATTTTTTCCATAATAAAAAAAATAAATAAATGAAAAAAAGAACCATTGACTAACTACAACTACATTAAAAAAAAAAAAGAACCATTGAAATAACTACAATCACATTTTTTTTCTTTAAGAGTGTTTATGTTTATCTAACTTCAATCATATTAAAAATAAAATTAAAATAGTAAATAAAAAGATTAAATAACATTAAAAAAAAAACCATTGAACTAACTACAACAATCATATTAAAAAAAAAGAGCCATTGAACAAATTACAATCACATCACATTTTTCTCATAATAAAATAAATAAATGAAAAAAAAGAACTATTAAACTAACTACAATCACATTAAAAAAAAAGAATCATTCAACTAATTATAATCACATTTTTCTCTTTGTGAGGGTTTATATTTATCTAACTTCAATCATATTTAAAAATCAAAAATAAAATTAAAATAGTAAATAAAAAGATTAAATAACATTAAAAAAAAACTATTAAACTAACTACAACAATCATATTTAAAAAAAGAACCATTGAACAAACTACAATCACATCACATTTTTCCCATAATAAAATAAATAAATTAAAAAAAGAACTATTAAACTAACTACAATCACATTAAAAAAAAAAAAGAATCATTCAACTAATTATAATTACATTTTTCTTTTTGTGAGGGTTTATATTTATCTAACTTCAATCATATTAAAAAATCAAATTATAATTTTTTATTCGCTAGACAAATCACAAATATTTTTATACGCTATCTAACTACAATATCTATACTATATATTAAGCAAAATGAGATTTTTAACCCCCAAGGCCTGTGAGAAGGAGAAAACAAAAAGAAGACTTACTGTTTGCATATGTGGTCACTGAAGTTAAAAGTGTAGAAGTGAGAAGTCAAGAAGGAGAAAATAAAAAGGAGACTCACTGTTTGCAATAAGTACATGAAAAATTAAAAAGAGTGTATTTATTAGAAAAGTTAAAAAGATTTGGAAGAATTTAATAAGTGTTAAGTTTTTTTTTTTCAAAAAAATCAAAAAAATCAAGAAATTAAGGTTTAGATATTGGAACTCCCACAAAATTTGTGGGTTAGAGATAGATATAAATAAATAGATAGATATAGATATAGATATTTATATTTATTTTAAATTTTTTTTAATATACAAATTATTTGTTTTGAAAAAGGTACTGCAGTAATTATGAGAGAAGTCAAAAAGTCTTATGAGTTGAGAGAAGTTAATAAATGTTGAGGTTACTTTTTAAAAAAAAAAACAAAAAATTAGAAAATTAGGATTGGCATATTGATGTGATATTTTATTTTTTGTGGCTAAAATAATCTATTTTGTCTTTTGTGGTTAAAATAGCTAAAAAAGCTCCGTTTAGCTCTTGCCAAACGGAGCCTTAATTTATGTTTTTTCAAAAAGAGGAAGATTGCATTCATGTTTTTTTTTTGAATACAATACAATCACACAGTGATTGTACTTTTAATTTATGTTTTTTGAAAAGAATATTATATTATATTTATTAGGTTTACATAAAATATCTGTTATTAATGATGATTATATTGTGTTTTGTGATTGTGATAAAGTATCCACTATTGATGATGATGATTAGAATAGATTATATTATATTATATTTATATTTGTGATATGGATTTAGTTTTATTAAAAGACAAATTTATATAATTATGTTAAAATTATGAAATTTACTGTATTTTTTTTTACACTTTAGAAATAGCCATTGTAATTTATCCAATAAAAAAATTTAAAAAAAAACTCTACTCATGTTTGATGAGATAAAAATAGTTTAAATTTTTTTTAAAAGTTAATAATAATAACTATACGAAACAACCCCAATGAGTGCAAGTCGCAAGTCCAATTGTTCCAAATTATAAACTAATAGTTTATATGGGATTTTGTTTTACTTTTGAACAATAGGGAATCTGTATTTTTTAAAGGTAAATTATAGTTATCCCTATATTATTTTATTTTGGATTTTTGTAAATTTTCTGAATTCAATTTTCTAAAATTGAATTTTTTTTGTTTTTCGTATTTTTTTATTTTTAATGAATATTTTTAAAATTATAAACATTTTTCTAAAAAATAAAATATTTTAAAAAATCAATAAATATACAAGAATACAAAAAATATACTAAATTTTTATATTTTTTTATTTAATAAATTTTTTTTTACAAATATTACACTTTCTAAATACATTTATGATAAGTGTATTTAAAAATTTAAAAAAATTACTTAAAATATTAAAAAAATTCAGTGATAGGAAAAATATAAACTTCCAATTTTCTGATTCAAACCAAACAAGTTTCACAACCCCACTATGCATTTCCTTCCATTTTATAAAAAATCATCCAAGTTGGGAACTTCTAATTAAACACTTGATTTCTTCATACACCCACTACATGTATTATAAATCTTGTATCCTACACATGAATGTAGAAAGAAATCAAATGTGTAATTAGAATTGTTTCTCAAACCTTCAATCCAAACGCAAGTTCAACTCTAATCATAACATACTTGTATATGGGAAGCAAAAAATTTTACAGATTTACAAAACATAGCAAACCAGCACAATCCAAAAATCCCCACCAGCATGAAGAAGAAATTAAACAAAAGAATCTCAGCCGTCCAATAATTCAACAATCAACAAAATTCTTGAATTAGTTGATATCGTGATACAGAGCATCTCTGAATATTCACAGTCAATCTCATCGAGCCCATGATACAGAATCAATCTCATCCCTTGCGGACTTGTACAATTCAAGCCTTTTTGCACATTCTTGCCTCCTCTCCATCAATGCTGGATCTTCATCTAACAATTGTGCAAGCTGTTTAGCCTGAACATAGCAAAACATGACGACGTTATCAAACATCAACAGCATTTCATGGAAAAAAGGATTTGCATCCAAAAACAATTTCCAGAAACATTTCTCATGTTTGGTTGTGTTTTTTTCTGTACTGGTTTTCGTTTTCCTTGTTCTCGGATAGAGAAACAACAAAATGTTCAGAAACATCCTTCCCTTTTGATCTCAATATCATTTTTGTGCAAAGACAATTTTTTATAATTCAAAAACAACTGTCGAGAAAACACTAAAAAGTGAAACTAGCTGTGTGCCCCAAAAGATTGAACAAACTACATATACACACACCCAGTCAAACAGAGACACAGACGGTACCTCTTTCTTGCCAATTTGCGTGTAGAAGTGGTTGAGCAATGACTGCTTGGCCTCCTTAACCTGACAATAAACAACCGCCTTGGGAATGGTGTTCTTCAGTGTCTCACACACCATGGCCACATAAGAAGACACAGTCGACCCTATCCTCCTAAAGTGACCCTCAGCGTAGCGATCCACAGTTGAGGCAGCAGCAGCTGGGTTTCCTGCTTTCTCTACCTCCTGAGGTAGTTTCCGGAAGAAATCTACTGTCAGGTATGAAGACTCCATATCCACCAACCTTATAACGGTCTTCTTACTGTCATCCCGAAACCTTTCCAAGGCTTCACCAGCAGCAGCAGCAATTTCAGCTTGCAGAGTAGGAAACCGCCTCAATTCCTATCCCATCAGAAACACAATGTTAAAAACACTTTCTGATTAACAAGGTCAGTTAGCAGTATGATTCACAATTTGATATCAGTTTCAAGTAAAACGATTCAATTCACGCAGTAGAATCTTAAACTGAGTGAATTTTACAATTCAATTGCAATTTAGTTCTGTTTGCATAATGCATGACGTGACATTGTTTTCACAAAATAAAAGAAGAGATCAATTAATTATATTGATATACATGGTTTTAAAAACACATATACAGCTTAGTTATATTGACAACAATGAGCAGTAATGCTGCTTTTAAGTAGAAAACTATGTAGCTTCCACTAGTGGTTCACCTTAGTTTCTCCAATTGACTTTCTAACAAGTTCCTTCAAGACAAAGTGAACCTACATTTGAGAAGTCGTGGTCAGTTACACATTCAGAGGCAATATTTGGATAAACTTGCGGATACAGTTACAATAAAACTTGTGTCCACCAAAATAGTAGGCGACATTACTACTTACAGCATCAACTGAAGCTTCAGCAGGGCCCCTAAAATAATTTAATGCCCCATCAATCAGTCGTCGATAACCTTGCTCAGGTGCAATCAAGTGTGGTTGGTAACCATCTGCCTCTGAAACTATTTTCCTCACATTTTGCAGAGAAAGATGCCGATCTAATGGAAGCTTCCTTAAAGCAGCGGGAAGCTGGTTGTCAAATACTCCATAAATCCGATCACCTCCAGGTCGACTAAAATGAAAAAAAAAAAAAAACACATAAATAGTTATAGGCCCTAATCATATATTTGACATTGATATCCTGCAGCCTTACTGCTTGTTCATACTAAAGAAATAATTCAGCCTGGAAACCAAGGACTAGATGGCAATGAATGGGCTATTCTTTTTTTATTTATTTATTTTTTATATGGTAGTATGTTAAAAAGAAAAGGGTATACACAAAACACACTATACCAGCTATATCTAAAGGCCTAGAAATGAGCTGGGCTTAGGTCACCTTAAATTGATAAAAACCAAGTATCTCCATTTTTCCCAAAATAATTATGCACCATTCCCCACCCCCTATTGCAGCTTTGAGGTCATATATCCAATAAGAAGAAGATAAAGTGTTTACCCTCCTTCTAGATGCTCCTTAAATATACGGTCAAAAGCGCGGCAAAGTTCCAAGATTGTGTACAGTTGAGCCTGGAACATAATATTTCAGTTATTGACAACACAAACAGTGTCTCATTCAGGAATAATGACGAGGTGAAAACAACTCACCCCTGCATCAACAGCAATAGGCCTACCGAGGTGGTCCAACTCAGATTCAAGTTCATCAATGCTTTTGTTAATCAATGATGTGATACTTGGTATTCTTGCCCTAATTACAGACTCCAAGTGCTGAAATTAAAAAGTCTCAACAAAATTATAACATATTTATTCGCAAAGGAATCTGAAAATATGAATAGGTTACACGATGTATACCTACCTTGGAGAGAAGTTTTGCAAGATACTCTGAACCCATTTTATTTGCCAAGTGTCCATAGTCGGGACTTGTAGCAAAGTATTCACGCTCCTTCCGCCTTGCAACAACCATGTCAATATTTTTATTTATATCAGCTTGGGAACGATTCACAATTCCCACCCAGGGGTGTTGCAGACGATAGGATCTCCCTTCAAGAACCTTCAACCATATCATTGATTCAGTCCAACAAATATAGAGAGCAGAACGAAGCTAGAAAAAACTGGTGATCAAGAAGTATTTTCATAATGCCTTGTCTGCATTTAAAGAAATTGCACAGGAGAAAATAATAAAAAGATAATTTAATGAAACATGTAATGAGGTCTTATTCCATCACTTATCATGGACTTAATTTCTTGAAATTATTTCCCTTAAAATGAAATAAATATTAAAATCAACATAAAGATAAAAGAAACCTCAATGAACACGGGGCCAATATAACACTAAAACTTATTAAGATAATTGCACACACAGAGAGAGAGAGAGAGAGCCTACCTCTAATGCATTAGTTCCTTTATCCATCAGATCTAACTTTGTCAAAACACCAAATGTTCGATCACCTGAGCAAGTTGCAAAACAAATTTATAACACAATATCCAAGCAATTTGAAATTAAGCAAAAATTTCATAATTTAACTGTAATCAACAGTAAGCAGAATATACCAGAGGGATCCACCTCCCTTGCAAGTTTGATAGCATCCGATGTTGCTATGTCTTGATTGGCCGGAGATATTGCCAATATGATGGAGTTAGGCTGCAGAAACCATACATTAATTAATTAGTGCCACAATAATCTGCAACCGAGGCCGTTTCAATTGAAACTAGCAATGCATATGCCACACATGTAATTGTTCATGGCAAAGCAAACAGGTAAAATCAAACAAATAACCAAACGATACCAATGCTACAAACCAGAATGCTTCATTGGATTTGTCTGGAAGACTTCACACATAAGTAGACTTGTTGATTATAGTTGTGAATCGTGATAAGATAACAACATTGGTGAAACTAGCAATGCATATGCCACACGTGTAATTGTTCATGGCAAAGCAAACAGGTAAAATCAAACAAATAACCAAACAATACAAATGCTACAAACCAGAATGCTTCATTGGATTTGTCTAGAAGACTTCGAACATAAGTAGACTCATTGATTATAGTTGTGAATCGTGATAAGATAACAACATTGGTGAAAAGATAACAACATTTGACACACTGATCACATTTGACACATAGCAGTCATGAGACCTTCGTAGATCTATTCTTTATATAAATTTCAGCTAATTTTTTTCCCTTTCTTTTCTTTTAATTTCCACCCTTTTTATAGCTCAATTAGTACTCATTAAAACTTAATTAGTCTTAAAATCATGATTGGTTCATTCACTAAGATAGTGAATAAGGACAATGAAGTTAACCATAACAATCCCAAGGGTAAGTGCATTCTATTTAAAAAATAATAGATATTCATCATTACCTTTTCAACATAAGATCGCACCATGTTTTCAATGTCTTGAACAATGCTTTCAGGCTGTCCCTCTGCAAAGAACAAACCTCTTTATTCATGACTGGAGGACATTTATATCAATTCAAAGTTCTACACGAAAAAAGAAATTATGTAGAACATACCAACAGCAACTTTTGTCAGACCAGGCAAATCAATTAAGGTCAAGTTGACAACTGCCACACAAAAGCAACCACAAAATGGTGTCAGTGAAGTATATTGTGTGTATATATATAAGGTAAATTCTTTAATACATATACCCTAGTTACGACCTTATGTCATCTTTGGTTATGACCCATTGTAGTGTTGGTTGACTTAGTTATAACCTATTGTGCTTGCTATTTGGATATGAATGAAGACGTCTTTGGTTATGCCATAAGTGGTGTTTGGTTAGGATCCATTATGGTCCCTTTGGTTATGACTGAATGTAATTTGATTATGACCCAAAGTGGTATCAACACTACAAAATGTCATAACTTGCATCTCTTTTGGAGGGTGAGCATTGTAGAATCTCCCATATAAAAATATTTATGTAGATGCATAGATATATAAATACGGAGAAAACAAGAGAGGGCATTGTCATATAGTAGAAAAAAACACAATAGGAATAGACCTATATATGTTACAGAGAGAGAACAACATGAGAAAAGTGAGATATTTAATATAAAGATTATTTCTCATTTTAGAATCATAATGCTAAAAGTTAATCATATAAAAAAAGCAAACTTTTACAACAACAAAGCAGTATAAGGCTTCCAAGGAGTTCAAGTTCACGAAAGAGAAACCACAAGGTGAAATTGACTATCTCAAACCAAGATCACAAATTCTTACAACTGCCAAATACATGTACAACTGCCAAATACATGCCAAATACTGCCAAATACATCTCCATTGTGTTTATTGAGTGCAAAAGAACCAATCAAAACTTAAACCTCAATGTAACATGTAATTAAAAAGAAACAAATAAAATATACTCACTTATATGTATCTACCACAAAACATAAAAAGATGATCTACAAGAAGTTTCAATACAGCATTCATCCCTAAAATATAATGAAGAAACAGAAACCCAATTCATCCAAGTAACGGTTTGCAGCAATATTTATTAGGAATTTAGGATACTAATAATAATAACATACTATGCACTGCCAACAACGACAAAACAACATGAGACCATCTTTGTTCAAGGTGAAGTCAAAATTCGCATTGGACAGATGGAACGAGGGTATCATCTGCATCATGAGGTGAAATGGGACTACACATTGCAATCCCATATTAAGGCATACTAATGTTGATCAAGATTGTGACTCATCCAAAGTACAAATAAAAAAGAACAAAAAGTAATTTCAGCTTGGTATGCTCATTTGAAATAGTTTATTTCTAGATAAAATTCTCTCCCACAAAAACTATCCAATTAGTTCAAACAAGTAAACATGGTTCATTTACATTTACAAACTTCAAAACCAAAATATTTTCAAACTTCAATGGCATATAGTACTCAGTCAAACATGTACTGGACTCAATTACTTGAACTTTTCAAAAGCTTAGAATTATGGCTTCACATGTACCATTCAGAGTGCTCATGTCACTTTTATATTAACAAGGGGATGCAGGCATTTCACGCAGGTAATGACTACCCAATTCAAGATTCTTCTTTGCATCTTTATTTAGAACATATCCCAAGATAACCAAGTAGTATCATTTTTTCAATTCAGTAACAAAGAAATTTGTTTAAAGCAACTTGAAATATAAACCAAATGTTTGTGGAACTCTTAAAGAAAGAAAAAATGGAAGCAAAAAAAAAAAAAATGTAGAATCACATGATGTGTCAAAGGACCAATAACAAGCGGACAAAAAGGAGGTGGTTTTCAACGAGCCTCGTAATGTATTTGTTTTACCATGCCAACCAGCAATTACAGTTAAAGAGTAACCCACCATTTGGAGAGTATATACTAAGATGAATCGGAACAGGAGAAATCTGTTTCGACTTTCCTGTCACCCTATCAGTTTCATCCTGAATTTCCTTGCGAACCATGGCTGCAGAAGAGAATCAGATTGCAAAAGATCAGTCACAGTGCATCAGTATAAACTATAGTTGCCAAGGAAAACAAGAATAAAAACAATGTCAACCATTAGCGGACAGGAGAAGGGTTGGCGATGGCCCCTACAAAGATCCAAAATCCCATGTAAATTATACTGTTTTGCTCCCCAAGGGCCAAGGAAAACTTGTATGGAGTTTGATAACCCCACAAAGATGTGGCCCTCATAATTTATATAACTAAAAAATTTCAATACAATTGAAATTCATTACACTCCTGAACTCAAGTCCAACTTGTTTAATCTCATAACCCCATTACTTGTATTTGTTATCAGAATCTTACAATTTGCAATTCAATTCGCAAATTATGCAAAATCAATACGAACTATGGATGAACCTATTTTCAAAGTGAATCTATGGTGCATTGGATGATTCACAATCAATTCACGATTCAATTCACCTTTTACAATTCATCCAATTTTTAAAACTATCGTGTCCAACATATATTGGTTTTTTGCCTCCCTCTTTTTAGTGAAAATGAAATAATAAACAGTAAAAATCATTTGCAGCAGAAGTTACATACCAAAATCACTGAATTTCCTTCGAGGAAGATGAGAAAACTCAGCATAATCCTGCTGTCCGTCATCTATCTTGTACAGTTGCAACACCAATGGCCGCCTTGTGACAATCCCTGAAAACACCCAAAAACAACTTTTATTAAAAAATATGAGATCACAAATAAAAAAATATCAAGTTAATTAAGTAGAATAATTATATGACTGAAGAACACAAAATTTATAACAAAAGCAAAGAAATCCTAACCAGATCCTCGAGGAAGGAAATCTCTTCCAACTATGCTCTCCAATACTGAAGATTTTCCAGAACTCTGATCTCAGCTCAAAACAAATCAAAACAAAAAAATTCAGATAAGGAAATAATCTATTTTCAACCATTACTCAAAATTAGACAAATGGAGGGAGACCCATTTCATTTACCCAAATTCTCCTTTACTCCCAACTCCTAGCATCCACTCAAAACTTAACAATTGGCAATTTTACTCAAATGAAGCTTTTTACCCAAACTTCTACTCAATTTTAGTAAAAGTACAAATAAGGATTGCAGATAGCCTAAGCATAATCCATCACTCAACTAACAAATCCAATAATCCAATTGTAATCTCTCTCTTTATCTCTCAATTCGTTATAAATCTATCATTTTTCTCCGTGCTTCTCTATCTCTCCCTAAAACTACCAATCTTTCTCTAAAAAATCTCAGCCAGTAGAATAATAATTATGAGAAGCTTAAATTCAGCTTCAATCGAGTCAAAACCCTAAAACAAAATCCTCTTTCTCTATCATCTAAAAGAACTGAATCGATAGTGCAAAAGGTATACCTGGCCACCAACGACGGCGACAGAGGGAAGAGCGCTAATGTTGATCAAAGAACGAGGTGTCGCCACCACCGTGGTCTCCGAGAGCAGTACAAGCCCTCTGGATGCGATTCACCAAACCGATCAAGCTCTCCATGGTAGCCATCTTCTCAAAACCCTAACAGATCTCAGTTCAAAACCCTAGAAACTTCAACACGAAGAGCTTAGAAGAAGATGAAGCACAGAGAGAGAGAGAGAGAGAGAGAGAGAGATTTAGAGAGAGAAAGAGACAAGAAGAGTGGACTTGTAATCAACGCAGAGTGACAGAGCGTCAATGAGAGAGAATGGGTGATCGTGATGAGTAGAGTTGATCGAAGAAATGTATAGTGTGCGCCAGGTGCGCAATGTTTATATCTTTTTTTTTTCTTTTGGCCTGGTAGTAATTTCCAACGGTTTGAAATTGGGGTGGGTGGGTGTGCAATTTGATTGCGACGTTATCTACCAACGGTTTGAAATTTTGAAATTTCGAATCCTATGCCATTTTGTCGTTTAATGATTTTAAAAATTTTATAATGTGGTATATGGACGTGAAGTTTCGTTTAAAATAAAATGATTTTTTAATTTTTTAATTTTTTAAACTATTTTAATTTTGGGGTTAAAATGCTTTGTTTGGAAAGTGAATTGGTTTTTTTAATTTTTTTTTGAGAGAAATAATGTAATGATTATGGGTTGGATGTGATATTTTGTCTTATTAAACTAAAAAAATTATTTTATTTTTTGTGACTATTTTAGCCCTAAACTCACCCAAACCATCTTTCCAAACGAAGCCATAATATGGGTCTTATATTTATGTGAGATATTTAGTAAAAAATTTTGAGTCTCTAAATTGATGATGTGACATAATTTCAGATATTTTTTATATTTGGGACCTCACTTATTATATAGATGAGTAATGCTAGGGACACCAAATTTTCTACAAAACAAATGACCAAATGTCTCACATGGGTGTGGGGTCCGCAATTTTGGCCCCAAACTCACCCAAACCATCTTTCCAAATGAAGCCATAATATGGGTCTTATATTTATGTGAGATATTTAGTAAAAAATTTTGAGTCTCTAAATTGATGATGTGACATAATTTCAGATATTTTTTATATTTATAATCTATATAATAAGTGAGGTCAATAATAAGGTCATAACTAATATTAGTAAACTAGTTAGTATACTAAATGATGCACGTACTATTAGTATATTAATTAATGTACTAATTGATGATATTGCATAATTTAAGATATTTTTTGTATTTATAATTTATACTATGAGTGAGATTAATAATAATGTCATAATTAATACTAGTACATTAGTTAGTATACTAATTAATGTATGTAGTATCACCGTTTTGCCATTGCAATGGCAAACTCAGTTCAATTATGCTTTTGTTAAAGTTGTTATTTGATAAAGTTGAAAATTTAAAATTAAAATTTACAAATTAAGTGTTAAGGTCTCATTTGATATGTGCTTATTTTAGTTTAAAAGTCAAAAAATTACTAAAAAAATCAAAAAAACCTAGAATCTATACTAAAAAGTCAAAGATTCTTTTTTTTCTCTACTTTTTATACTCCTTCCGTCCCAAAATATTAGTCTCTTATTCCATTTTTCATTGTCCCAAAATATTAGTCCCTCTTCAAAAATCAAGTATAAAAATAATATAAATTTTCTATTTTGCCCTTCTTTTAAATTAATAAACAATACAAAAAGTACAATTATGACATTGATATTCTCAAAAAATGTACTATCAAGAGGATAATTTTGGAAAATCAACTTTTTTCAAATGCAATAATTGTACTACCAAAAAAAGTTGGATTCCCCAAAAGGGATCATTATTTTGGGACGGAGGGAGTACATCTTTTCGTAAAAAAACAAAAAGTTATTCAAAACATACTAGTTTTTTTTACCTCGTATTTTAGTTAAAATATCAAAAAGTTACTAAAATAGCATGTTCTCAAACGAAGCTTAAAAATTGAATATTAAATTTTTTAAATTAAAAATAAGTTGTTTGATATGTATAAAAATCAAATTTAAAATTTATTATTTTTAAATTATATACTTTTATTTATATATTGTCATAGTAGTGGTTGTGGTAGTAGTCATAGCGGTGATGGTGATGGTGATGGTGATGGTAGTGGTAGTGGTAATGATAGTAGTAGTGGCATGGTAATGATGATAGCGATGGTAGTAGTAGTAAATATGATGGTGTTTATCGCAACAATGATAATGGTAATGAAGGTGATGTTAGTAGTGGCGGCGACAGTAGTGGTAATGGTGGCGGTAGCATGGTGGTAGTAACAGTAGCGGTAATATTGGTGGTGTTGGTAAAAGTATGGCATGGTGGTAGCAGTAATGGTAATGGTGGTGGTAATAGTAGCGGTGGCATGGTGGCGGTGGTTGTTGTATTGGCGGCGGTGGTGGTGAGTTTATAATAATGTATATTAATACTTATGTTTAGTGTTTATAAAATATGGTCTAATGTGTATTAATACTTATGTTTAGTATTTTATATGACTTAAATTTTTAAAAAAATTTAGACTATATTTTAAAAGGTACTTAAATTTTTAAGTGGTAGCAATTATAATTAGCAAACGGACTTAATTGATTATCACTAATTAATTTAATTTTAAATGATAAATCATATTATCAAACACTTTCTAAATGAGGTTATTGTTATTATTAGTTGTGGTTGGGGGTTAAGATTTTAACTTAAAAATTTTAAAATAATTAAAAAAATAAAAAAAGTTAAAGATTTTTTATTTATTTATTATTTTTTTAGGGAAATTTATTAGAAAGTCCCAGCTGGGTAAATTATGTTTTGTTTGGTCTCACAAATTTTTTGTTTGATTAGTAAGTCCATGTTAGGATGGATATCTTACTGTTTACTCATTCTTTGAATTTACATTGTTATATGGTGGACGAATATGCCCTCACATAAATTGTGGGATGTGTTTGTTTTATTTTGGGTATGTATAATCCCACGTTTGGTGGGAGAGGTGGAAGTGTGAGATCTTGGTGGGGATGTATGTATAATCCATTTTAGGGTTTGTGTTTTGTGGCCAATATCATCTATGACAGTCCACCATTGCTGGGTTTAACGTTAACACCGTCGACTTCCCACAGGTATGGTCCACATTTTGTATTCACGCACCATTGTTCACGTTCACGTTAACCCGATTATGAAAATGTGAAAACATTTAATCAAGTGCATGTAGTCTCATCATGGTTTTAGTTTTAAATATAGGTATCAACTTTTGTTTTTTAGCTTTCTCTCTCGTTTTCTCCTTTTCCCATATCTTATGCTTCTTCTTTTCTTTCAATTCTCTTTTTCTCTCTCTCTTCCCTGTTTTTCTCTTTCTAACTTTTTTTTTCTTTGAGTGATCCATCAGTGTTTTACAACATATAAGTAAAAGGTATTTGCAGTGATACCTCACCATTGTTCACGTTCATGTTAAGCCGGATTCACACACCATTGTTCATGTTCACGTTAACCCGATTCACGCAACATTGTTCACGTTCACGCGCCATTGTTCACGTTCACGCGCTATTTTTGAGTTCCGGGTCATCACGTCGTAGACATTGTTCACGTTCACTTCGTAGCAACTAGTCCACTACCACTACGCTAAGTCGGATTCACAAGAGACACCTCCAACCAACCAACCAAACTAGTGTTCTTCACACCACAGCACTCAACGTTAACTACAACCACACCACCTCTAATATGCACAAACTCTGGGTCAATTATTCATTCAATCTCTTTCGTCTGTTTAGGGATTATGTTGATTTGAATTTGCGAAATGTAGAGGGGCAATTCCAACGATTACTAAGGTTTACGTCGAACCTAGCCACCAAATCGTCTCCCAATTTGGGGATAATTCCTATTTCCAAAACAGTTAAACGGGTCTAACCAATTTGATTTTCCGAGTCATCACATTTTCAAGTTCGGGCCCTAAAAAAAAATCCGATTCACGCACCCACATTGTCACGACCCCATTCCGCCCCTAGTAGAATGGTGCCGTGATGGCCAGTAATCCGAGATTACCAAAGGCCAACTTTCAAAATTCACATACAATCAGAGTATTACATATGGGGCTGACATGTGCGGAAGCAATATATACAAATCTAATTAGTCCATAAGAGCAGTGCATAAGTTAAATAAAATGGCATTCATCTTTACATAGCTTTAATACAACAAAATGAAGTACAAAAATATATCTTGACCAAAAGGCTTCTCAGCCATCGAATACAAAATACAATAAAGTACAACTAAGAAGCATAATCTTCAAGATGTAGCAAAAGTGCAAAATCCAAAAAAAGTGGCAAGTACTTCTAGGCGTCACCGCCGTCCTGCTCGTCACCTACATATATATAGAGAGGGGTGAGCTTGGATACTCAGTGAATGGTATAAATAATAAAGGGGTTTACATGAATGATATTCGAAATCTTTATCAAATCAAAGTATATCACATCTTGTACAAAATCCAAGGGCAAATCAAGCTTATCTAACAAATCTTTCAAGTTTCAACAATTAAAGTCTTTCAAGGTTTTCAAGTTCCAAGGGATGACATTAACAAAGGCTGTGCTACAAGTGCTTATAGTCCCCTAGCACGCACGGACTTTTCAAGATTGTGCTAAAAATGCTTATAGTCCCTTAGCACGTACGGACTTTTCAAGATTGTGCTAGAAATGCTTATAGTCCCCTAGCACGTACGGACTTTTCAAGATTGTGCTACAAATGCTTATAGTCCCCTAGCACATACGGACTTTTCAAGATTGTCAAAACCAAAGCTAATACTTGATACACCAAAATAGGGATAGTCATTCATGCTTAACAAAATACTTTTCCAAAACAAGCAAGGCAAAATTTTATCAAAACTTAATAATATAACTTTATTAAAAATACCACTCACATAGTTCTTCAGACATCGGGGCTACAGGCAAGGATCCAAGTCCTACAAGCACATAACAAATCCCATTGAATGCACTATCAAACAAGCTTTACATGAATGCAAGTGACCTCGGCCTTCTTTCAAAACTAAGGCGATCCAAAACAAAACACTGTTCCTCATCTCGGGAAAACATAATGGGCACCAACCAGATCTTGGCCGAGGTTCCACACCTCCTTGCCGAGGTGTGGTCCCGATGGCCACATCCAAGGAAATGAAGTCGGGAAAAACTGGGTTCCCTTTTCTTGAAAAAATATGAACATGAAGAACATGGATGCGAAGATCATACCGTATCATTACAAAATCTGAGATTTCATGATATGAATTCAAAAAAAACATGGACCTGGGTACCCATACTCGAAGATTTTATGAAAACAAACACAAAAACATGAATCTCAATGTAAGTTTT